CCACTTGTAAAGTTATTCGGCAAAGAACTGTCGAGTGCTGAAAACAGAAAGCAAAATGGAAACATGCTATTTCTCTACAAATGGTAAGGRCACTACATGATCAATTTCCAGAATGTCTATTTGGAAGCAGTGGGCTACTTTACCTGTAAGGCTGGAATCACCTGTGTGTTAGCAGCTGACAAATAATAATAATATTGTAAATAAGTTAAATACATTAAAAACAACTGAATAAAACTGGAATTCCACTGCATTTATTTTMAAAACTAGAAATAGACAGTGGCACATCACTATAATCCCAATTAAATAACTCAGGAGGCTGAGGAAAGAGRACTGCCAAGTTGAAGGCCATCCTGAGCAATAATTTAGCAAGACCTTAACTCAAAAAGGGTTGGGGATTTGGCTCATTGATTAAGCACACCTGAGTTTAATCTCCAGCACCAGAGGGTGGACAGTTGAGCTTGGGGTTTAGCTCAGCTGTAGAGCATTCACCCAGCCAGCATGTACAAGGCCAGAGTTCAAATCCCAGCACAGCAAGGAAAAAAAAAAAAGATCCAGCTGGGCACAATAGCCCACACCCAGCTACTTAAGAGGCTAAGGCAGAAAGATGGCAAATTTAAGTACAGGCTCAGCAACTTAGTGAGACCCTGTCTCAAAAATTTAAAGGGGCCTGGTTATGTTGCTCGGTGGTAGAAGAGTTTGATACCAAATACCACATTAAAAAAACAAAGTAAGGCCAGGCATGGTGACCTATAATCCTAGTGGCTTGGAAGGCGGAGACAGAAGGATCAAAGCCAGCCTCAGCAACATCAAGGCACTAAGCAACTCAACAAGACACGTTCTGTAAGTAAAATACAAAATAGGGCTGGGGATGTAGCTCAGTGGTCGAGTGCCCCTGAGTTCAATCCCCAGTCCCCACAAAAATAAATAAATAATAAATTTTTAAATAGCAAAAAATTCACCAAAGAGCAGCAGGTCTCATTTGAGCTCCAGATACTTCTGGATAGTTAAGAGCAGAAAAGCAAAGCTTAGGTAAATATTAAACACGTTTACTATTTTATTCTTTTCTCCAGAGACAGTCCTCTCCTGAGTAAAAAGAGKAGGGAAAGAGGGGAAACAGCATCAAAAACAGCTGCGGTTATCTCTAGGAATATACTTCGCCAAGACTTCRTTCACATCCCATCCACGACCCCTAAAGAAATAAAATTAGAGACCTCTTTCTGACATTTATTCTGCTATTAAGTCACTCTTAATATTATTTTGCAAGATAAATCAGTCAACAATATTATTTCAATTCTAAGGTCTTCCAACTTATAGAAAATATCCTGACATGCATCAAGCGACCTTCTAAAAGGGTGGWGGGGGGGATCATCCCTTGGGAAGGATAATTTTACTATTTTAAACAATTTAAAGATAAAATTATTCTGGAATTTAGCACTGAAATTTCTGCTCTAAACATGTAAACTGTAGGTACACATGTAAATTTAAGAAATATCTATATARGTACTAGCAACAAAGAGTTAACGGGGGTTATCTCTTCAGAGTGGGAGGATAGACAGGATGGGAGCAGAGAGGGATCGAGTACTTCTGACTCTGCATAATTTTTCTAGCCACAAGTTCATGGATGTGCAGATGTGTTTTGTATGTATTTTATTTTGTTACAGTATTGTGGTTTGAATCCTGGGRCCATGTGCATGCTAGGCCAAGTGTTCTATCACTGGCCTATATTCCCCAGCCCTAGCTATTTATTTTTTTTTGTTGTTGTTGTTGTCCAGGCTGGCCTTTAACTCCTGGGCTCAAAARATCCTTCCACCTCAGCTTCTTTAGTAGCTGGGATAACAATTACAGACTTAAGCCACCATCCTGGATGTTTTTAAATTTATTTATTATTATTCAAACACACACAAAAGTAGAAAGGATAGAATAAGGACCCAAGTGCACCAATGGTCCAACTTCAAAAATTCTCAACACTCTGGCTGGGTGTATTGGCACCCAATTGTAAACCTAGCTACTTGGAAGACTGAGGCAGGAGGATTACAAGTTCAAGGCCAGCCCAGGCAACTTTGCAAGACCCTGACTCAAAAAATAAAAAGGGCTAGGGATGTAGCTCAGGGGCAGAGGGCCCCTGGATTCAAACCTCAGCAATCATATCCCTCCTAAAATTTTTCCCGCATTATTTCCTACCCTTTATAAAAACTAAACAATCTGTCTGAAACCATAAGACACTAAATGTCCAGGGACTTGGCCTCTGACTAAGTAATCTCATCACTGCACATGAAGCAATCTACCTACAACAACTTCAGGCAGCAATAATCCGACTTAAAAAAGATGAGTTCCCAGAGTGAGTCAAGGTGCTACATCCTATCCAGTGAAGGACAACTGGGCTGCTGGCTTCTTTCCATCACAGCCAGCAAAGAGGTCAAATTTCTTTCCAGCTTTTCAACCACAGTCTCAGTTTCTGGTCCTATCCTGTGGCAAACTCCACTCTTTCCATCATTTACCTTTCAAAAGAACATGACCATGTTATTTCTCAATAACATGGAAAAGTAGAAAAACCCAAGAGATTAATATTTTACATGAGGCACAGAACACAGCAGGCAGAAGGGCACTATTTCAAAGCTGATTCCCACACAGGAACCTGAGTTTTGTGAAGTTCTTTCTTAACTGATAGATGGAAAAGGAATCCATAATCCCAACATATAATAAGCAACCACACTCCATTCACATTCTTCCATAATGTTATTTCAAGATGTGACAAAGGTGGGTATTAAGTAAGTAAAGAAATATGCTAAAGTAAATTATCAATCTAAAAACGCCCAGTCCCAGATGAAATCAGATTTTCACTTTATCATACTAGCCAGGTTATACAGTTAGTAGCAGCTCTGGTAGCAGAAAATAACTGGATTAAAATCTTGCTTCTGCCACCTATTAGCTGGATAAAATACTGTCAATCTTTCTAATGTGACTTTCACCTCATAGAATAACCATGGGAATTAAAGAAGTACCTATATAAAAAGTGCTTGTCACACAGTAGGTAAGTTCATATCTTAAGCTATGTTTAACTAACTACAACCCCAGAAGTGACCAGGTGGTGATATTTAGAACTTCCCTGGGAATAAACAGATTTGCCACTGATTCTATTTTTCTTGCATTGAGTCTATAAGTAATCAGATATACTCCTACATGTAACAATCAAGGCTTTTATACTTTTAGTGGCTAAATTAACATGTATCACATAGAAGAGGTGCACTAGAAGGTACCATCAAGGAAGATATAGGTCAAAAGACCATGCCTTTGGAAGACAATTATCTGCTAGCTGTTAGCAGAGAAAAATCATCAGCAAACTGAGGGGCTATTCATTTAAACTTTGTCATCACAATATCACCACTGTAGGTAACTTGTGATATCCCCTCAAGGATTTACTCAATGTCTATTAAGCTCAGGATCATGTATGCAATAAATGTTTCATCATAAGGGAACAGAATAGTAGGCAACTCCTCCAGAGGATCCTCTCCTGTCTCTCTCACAGTGGGTAATAGTGATTTTAGTTCCCATTTTAAATGAGTAAAGGAGAACATTTTCTTCCCATTTTTTAAAAAACCTTTATTTATTTTTATGTGGCGCCGAGGATTAAACCCACTACTTCACACTTACTAGGCAAGCACTCTACCACTGAGCCATATAACCCAGCCCTCTTCTCATTTCTTACAGGATATCTTGGCTTTTTCCAACTTAAAAAAAAAAACACTATAATATGTTAACTAATGACCTATAGTTTCCTTCCAACTCTCATTATTAAACTAAACTAAGCAGCAAATCATGACACTGAGTTTCTTTGTTGGGGCAGTAGTAGGGATTGACCCCAGCATGCAAGACAAGCGCTCTATCATTGAGCTACATTCCCAGCCCCACTTAACTGTTTTTTTTAAATGAAGATGTTATTAGCCAGGTRCAGTGGCACAAGCCCATAACCTCAGAGACGTGGGAGGATCACAAGTTCAGGGCTAGCCCCAGCAACTTGGCAAGACCCTGTCTCAAAATAAAAAGAAATGGGGATATAGCTCATTGGGGTAAAGCACTGCTGGCTTCAATCCCCAGTACTGGGGGAAAAAAAGGCATGTACCTTTTCAGTACAACACTGAGTACTGAAACAAGATTAAATAAATGGAAGAAAAATACAAACTCTAGAAAATACACCCTGTAGCTGAGTGTGGTGGTACACACCTATAATGCCACAGACTCTGGAGCCTGATACAGAAGGATCACAAATTCAAGGCTAGCTTGGGCAACTAAGCAAGACCATCTCAAAGTTATTGGTTTTTAAAAAAAGGATGTGGTGGCAGCTGGAGGTGTATCTTGGTAGTCAAGTCCTACTGAATTCAATACACAGTACCACAAAAGAAAATATATTCTGTAAAACACCCTTGTAAGGTTAGATTTTCTTTTCTGGTGTTGGGAATCAAACCCAGGGCTTCATCATGCCAGGTAAACACTCCACAGCTGAGGTACACCTCCAGATCAAAGTTGGCTTTTCAAATTCGTAGAAAAAGAAAATATTAGTGACTATTTGATAGGCCTATCTAATCCTTATTACAGACAATATAAATAATTTGCTCAGATGTAAGAGAGATTGTATTCATTGTAAAAGGACAAAAAGGTAATAACAATAACAACAGAAYACAGCAATAATAACAGAATAATAGCCAGACACTGTTATTAGTGCTTTATAAATTCACTTAATTCACAAACTGCTATTAGAAACACAGTATGTATTAGTACCCCCATTTTTTTTCTCTAGCTATAACTCCAGACAGGATCCAAAGAGTTTTGTAATCTCTTCTCTGGGTGGTGGGGGTGTTATTTCTGGTACTGGGGATTGAACTCATGGGCATTCGGCCACTGAGCCACATTCCCCAACCCTATTTTGTATTGAGATGCTAAGCACCTCACCATTGCTGAGGCTGGTTTTGAACTTGCGATTCTCCTGTTTCAGCCTCCCAAACCACTGGRATTACAGGCGTATGCCCAGCTTCTTCTCTGGGTTTTATGGAGGTTTCCTTTACCCTTCTGTGTTAGCCTCTTAAAGTACTGTGTCAACCTTAAGAAGGCCCAGAAAAGGGCACAGTACTCCTACTTTAATAAGAGGAAATTATCCACATCTATTTCATCTCACTGCTTCATTAAGGCAATATAAAGGAGCTGTAGAAAATTAATAACAGCCAGGAAGTCAGCCTCAGCAATTTAGCAAGACTCTGACTCAAAATAAAAAAGGGCTGAGGACATGGCTCAGTGGTTAAGTGCCCCTGGGTACAATCCCCAATACCAAAATAATAACAACAACAAAGCACAGAAATAAATAAACAGAAAAAAATAAATAAATAAAAATAAACAGAAGGTTAGAAAACATGGCCCAGGAAATCCCTCAGAAAATGGAATAAAAATGCAGAGATGCAAACAGCAGGGGGAAAAAGGATAAAATTATTGGATCAGTCCCAAAGACTCAGCATCCAAACAATAGACATAGGACAAGAATAAAGAAAATGAAGAAGAGCCTGGCACAGTGGCACATACCTGTAATCCCAGCAACTCAGGAGATTAAGGCAGGAGGATTGTAAAATTCAGGCCAGCCTCAGCATATTAGCAAGGGCCCTATACAACTTAGTAGATTCTTATCTTAAAAATGAAAGAGGCTGGGGATGTAGCTCATTGGTAAAGCAACTCTGGGTTCAATCCCCAGTACAAAAAAAAAAAAAAAGAGAGAAGTAGAAGAAGAAGAGAAGAAGAGGAGGAGAAAAACCTAAGACCTAATTTGAATCAATTGAGTGCATAGCCCACTAGATGAAAACAGCCACAACAAGAAGATCATTATAAAATTTTAGAACACTGGGACAAAGGTCTAAAAGTTTCAGGTTACATACAGGTTATCTCACCAATGGTGGAGGCCAAAAGACAATAGAATAGAATCTTCAAAATTTTCAAGGAAAATATTTCCAAATTTCAATTCTATACCTGATCAAATTAATAATCAATGTAAGGATAAAATGAAAGCTTTCAGATATGTAAGTTCTAAAAAATTTACCTCTCATGTTGTGCAATTTCTTCAGGAAGCTAACAGAAAAAGGTCAAGGTACTCTTCCAAAACCAATAGCTCAATCAAGGGGGAGAAAAATCTGAGATTGGACCCAGCCCAGGAGAGGGAGGGGATTCATCAGGATGATGTCAAGATCAGGACAGCTGCACTGTGCTGCTGCCTACAGCACATGTTCATATTAGGTGGAACAGAAGGGATCTCCAAAAGAACAGAACGCACCAGGCAGTCACAGTGCACACATGTYCTCAGGAAGACCTACACTGCTGGCCAGAGTGTGGTAAGGAATTACTGATAAAAACACAGAAATAAAGCACAACAACAAAAAAGGTTAATTATTAACAGAGAAAACAAATAGTTGTGCAAAAAGGAAAAGTAATCATGGCATGCAACATGACTGGACTTTGAAAAAAAACTGTATATAAACATAATATTATCAGTTAAGTATACTGCTCTAACCAAAAACACATTATAACTGGTGTGAAAAAAATTTGCACATGTGAGATGGACATGGAAGCCTGACAAAAAACCATCAAACTAACCTGATTACTTAGAGAGGTAATACCAAAAGAAAGAGCAGAGGGCTGGGTTGTGGCTCAGTGGTAGAGCGCTTGCCTAGCATGTGTGAAACACTGGGTTTAATCCCAGGAACTACATAAAAGTAGCTGATGGTCTGAAATGACTAGGTATTATTTTATATGCACATGTATCAACAAAATTTTGGGGACTGGGGATATAGCTCAGTGGTGGAACACTCACCTAGCATGCAAGAGGCCCTGAGTCTGACTCCCAGCACTGCAAAAAAGAAAAAAAGTGTTGTTTTTTTTTTTTTTTAAGTACAAACTGTAAAATGCTATTTATTTATTCATTTTTGGTACTGGGAATCAAACTCAAGTGCTTTACCACTGAGCTACATCCCCAGTCTTTTTTTTTTTTTTGAGATAGCATCTTGCTATATTGCTGAGGGCCTAACTGCTAAATGAACTTGCAATCCTCCTGCCTCCATCTCCCAACTTGCTAGGACTGGTACAGGCCACATACCATTTTGCCCAGCTTAGAAGATGCTTTTTAAAGAAAATGTATTACGAAAGGCAATATGTCAATCAATGGAAGGGTAACTGATGTGATACAGCAATCTGTATACGGGGTAAAAGTGGTAGTTCATAACCCACTTGAATCAAACCGTGTAATATGATGTATTAAGAACTATGTAATGTTTTGAACGACCAATAATAAAATAAAATTAAAAAAAGAAAATGTATTACATAAAGAAATCAAACATATACAACAATTTATGCATCACACTCATCCATGATAAGGGAAAACAAGGAAAAGGCTATTTATCTACCAAAAAGAGATGAGTTAAGACATTCTATGAAACATTCATTATGAAATGCCTTGAGCCACTAAAAAAATCCAAAGGGAAAAAAATCTGTTGTTTATTATAACCATGTGACAAAAATTACAATTCCAACCAGGGGTGGTGGCACATGCCTGTAATACTTAGGAGGCTGAGGCAGGAGGATTCCAAGTTCAGAGCCAGTCTCAGCAACGGCCTCAGAAACTTAGCATGTTTCTGTCTCAAAATAGCATTGGGGGGGGACACCCTGGGAATATGGCTCAGTGGTTAAGACCCCCATATTTAATCCCTGACACCCCAAAGAAGAAAACCAAACAAAAAAATTATAACTACAATTTTGATTAAACAAACACATTCAAGTAACATGCACATGAAAAAGACTGCTCACCAAAATATTTACATATATACACAAACATATGTACCTCTACACATATACACTTAYTAAATCTGTAGATTTAATAAATGCTGCAATTTGAACATAGAAATTCCATTAAGGAATCCCATAGATAATCAACTTTCAACATATAACACTGGTTTTACAAATCAGTGAAGTTATTAGTTCTTTTTTTAAACTATTATCAATTTTATTAATCCACATAAAGTATTTTCATTTTACTAACATCGTCAATACAAAATGACTAATTAGATATTTTAGTCTTTTTGCATATTCAATCTTCAAAAAACAGTGTTTTTTATACTCATAGCAATTTGAACTACCCATTTTTTAAAGAAATTTGATATTATCCGATCTTTTCAGTCATCACACATTTACCTTATTAGAACAATGACTTGACATGCACTAGATCCAAACACTTTCTCCAAAGAACACTGGCAGCACTACTGGCTTCTCTGATTTACAAAGTCAGGATGCAATCCTGGAACAAGAGAAATAAGTGATAAAATGGTTACCCATTTTTTCCATACCTTGCAGATTAGATTCCATTACTAGTACCTGAAATCCATAAGCAGACACTCCAGCCCTCGATTTTACTTCCAATGGACACAGTATTCTCTGGCAAAATGTACTGGTCTGATGGTCTGCCTCTGGTCAACTGTCTAATGCATATCTTCATCCATTCAACCTCCTACAGCATGGAAAGCTAAAACTGTCATTCTTGTAACCTAACACTTCTACTGGCAATATCAGGTGCTAGGGTTTGCATTATGCAAGACTAGTTTGCAAGCTTCATAATTCAACCTGGTGAACTTTGAAACAAAAAAAAAAAATTGAACTGAGATATGCAAAACTAAATTAACAAAAACATGTCAAGTTAAAATACCCCCTATCTCCATCCCTAAAGGCACATGCACAAAAAAACCTTTCTATTCCAGTTGTCTAAATATTCCTAGATCTATGGGGGTGGGGTTGTGGCTCAGTTGTAGAGTGCTCGCCTAGCATGTGTGAGACACTGGATTTGATCCCAGCACTACATAAAAATATTGTGTCCACCTACAATTAAAAATAAATATTTAAAAAAATTTAAAACATAATAAATATTCCTAGATCTATGAACACAGTCCATAAATTAAAGCTAGATAGAATATTACCCACAACACATAGGATAACCAAGTTCTAAAACCAGAAAACTCATAATGTCCTCACTCCTACTTGTTATTGAAGTGTTACTGTTCATGAAGATGCAGTCTCGATATTTATCTTCCTTTCTGCATTTACTCAGCATTCACTCTGTCAAGATGRGACACGCTGGGTAACCACCTCAGCTTTCTCTGGACTCTATGACTTGAATCCTTGCCCATTTAGTCAGGAAGGAAAATCTCTCCTAAAACTATGGATCCAAACTCTTTGCACCCATAGAATCCTCAAACTACAATGTCTCCTACCCTTTCATCAAATGCTCAAACATTCCTATGAGGGTCTCCTTCCACAAAAGATGTCCCTGGCTCTCCCAGGCAGGTTAGGTACTGTGACACCCTAGCCAGATCTCTCGTTACACCCATTTCATGATCTGTTGTTAAATTTCCTCACTGGACTATAAACTAGTTTTTGTGATTTTTTTTAAGTTTGTAGATGACACAATACCTTTATTTATTTATTCTATGTGGTGCTGAGGATCAAACCCAGTGCCTCATATGCTAAGCAAGCGCTTTACCACTGAGCTACAACCCTAGCCCAGCACACGGTACGTATAAGACAAACTGCTGTGGCACATTCTGGCTGCTAAATGAAGAATAAATTTTAAAGGACAAGGGCAGAAAAAAATCAGTAGACATTGCCTAAAATAATGCAGGTAAAGGACAGCAATGCCTTAGACCACAGCATAGCTCAAAATACTCCTAGCATTCCACACACTACTAGAACTTAACTAGAACATAATTCCTAAATCCAAACAAAGGGTAAATGCTAATATTTTCAGACCACACATTCGTATCTCTATTGTAAACAACAGCAATTTTTTTTTCTTACCTCACTTCAGGCTCCCTTGGCAACCAGAGAAACAAAGACAAGAAAACACAAGGATAACCTTGCCCTCTCCTCTGACCCCTAACGTCAAAGTTAGTCCTCTAAACCATGAGGCACATGTTTAAATAATATTTGAGGGCTAATGTTGTTCTGGCTTCAAAAGCATAACCATAGCAATAAAAGTAAATAAAAGGGGCTGGAGTTGTGGCTCAGTGGTAGAGTGATCGCCTAGCATGCAAAA